CCAGGCTATCACAACCAACTACCAGTCCATGGCCTACAACAATCAGCCCATGGCAGCTGATGTCCAGGTCATGGTAGCCAGTCACCTGCCCCATCAGAGACAGAACAGCAACAACATCATTGAGCAGAGACTAAGTGCACTCGAGAGATCTATAGTCTTGGCAGCGTCCGTCAGTAGTCTATCAGCTAAGCTTGCAGGCAACAACGACAGAAGGTCACGATCTCGATCTCAAACTTCAGGATCATGAGATCAATGCTTCTACCATCACAGATTCAGTGCTAAGGCTGTCAGATGCCTTAAGCCTTGCAACTGGACTCCTGTAAATCCTCAGTGAAACTAGTTGAGCTGTCGTCAGTCCAGGCGGTTGGACTGACTCTCAAACTTGGTCTACATCGAGCATTCACCTGGCCTTTCATAGTTGCCGACGTGCAGTCCGTAATTATTACGGCTGATTCTATCGTCCATTTCGGGCTGATGATAGACCCCAAGAAGCATCGTCTGATTGATCCTCTCACACCTTTTTCAACAACAGGAGAGCTTGTTGAGATCACAGTATTCGGTATATCAAATGTAGACCAGCATGCGTCCTTCAACACTCACCTTGAAGACAAGTACTCAGATCTTCTCACACAATTTCTTGACATCACCAAGCCAACTGTCTCTGCTGCCTCGCATAACCCTACAGATGTGTCCCACCATATCGTCACCACAGGACCTACAGTTGTGGAGTGATTTAGTAGACTAGCTCGTGATAAACTCAAAGCTGCAAAATGTAACATCAATCTCCTGCTAGAGCTTGGCGTCATTCGACCTTCCAGCAGCCACTGGACAAGTCCAATACACATGGTACCCAAGAAAGGTGGAGGCTGGCGTACCACTGGAGACTTCAGGTGACTCAATGATCAAACAGTTCCTGATCGCTACCCGGTGCGCTTTTTTGAGGATATTTTCTACCCTCTACATAGCTAAAAAATCTTCTCAACAATTGATTTAGTACGTGCTTACCATCAAATTCCAATAGCACCAGAACATATCGAGAAGACCGCGGTTACTACACCCTTCGGCCTCTTCGAGTTTCTGGGAATACCCCCTGGATTACGTAATGCAACTCGAACCTTTTAATGGCATATGAACAACATCCTAAGAGGTCTGGATTTCGTTGACTGTTTCATCGATGACCTCATCGTAGCTTCTGAAACCCATGAGGAACATCAAGTCTTCTGCATTCTACATCAAAACAAGCTCACTCTAAACCCGAGCAAGTGTAACTTTGGCAAGGAAAAAGTGACTTATTTGGGCTACACGATCAGCAAGGATGGATACAAAGCTCCAGCTTCACGTGCCGAGGCAATTATGTCTTTCTTCAAGCCTGAAATCATCACTGATCTTCGTCGATTCCTTGGGATGGTGAATTACGATCGCAAAAGTATTCCCAACGCTTCAGAAATGCAAGCACCGCTCAATGCGTATTTCAAGAACATGAAGAAGAATGACAAAACCAAGATTCAGTGGACACTGAATTCTGAGAAGGGACTGGAAGATTGCAAACAAAGTGTTGCTCCAGCAGCCCGTACAGCTTTCTTATCACCATCTGCCCCTCTCTCTCACGACTGATGCCTCCGACTCCGCTGTGGACGCCTCATTGGAGCAGTTCCAGGAAAACATGTAGAAGCCAATTGCTTTTTTCTCTAGGAAACAGAGTCCGACGGAGAGGCAGTGCAGCACCTATTGCAGAGAACTGCTGACAATCTTTGTAGTTATCAAATTCTTTCGCCATACCCTCGAGGGACACTATTTCGTTATCACGACTAACCACAAACCCTTGGTCTACTCGCAGATTCTCGCAGGAAGCAGACAAAGCCTCACCACGTCAACTCAATCAGCTCGGTTTCATATCTCAGTTCATAACAGAAATCGTGCACCTGAAAAGCGACGAAAATGTTGTCGCTGACGCACTCTCCAGGATCAGTGCAATCAGCATGCCCACCATCTTGAGTGCTGAGAATTCAAGGGGAATAGCAAGATGATGAAGAGCTTCAGCAATTCATTGAGAATAACAACAGCTCACTGAAACTTCAACGTCTATACATTGATGGCAGCAACTCAATCTACTGTGACATCTCATCTGGCACCGTGAGGCCCTTCATCCCCAAAAATCTGCGACGAGCAACCTTCGACACAGTGCATGGGTTGTCCCATCGCAGTGGTCGAGTAACAGTTCATACACTCAAGGAAAAATACATCTGGCCTGGCATAAAAAAAGACGCTCTGGAGTGGGCTGGCAACTGCATCGCATGCCAGCGCTCAAAAATTCAGCATTACAATCATCTGACACCCAAACACATCGACGTACCTGACACTCGCTTCAACCATATTCATCATGATTTCATCGAACTTTCAGTGGTCAACAAGCTCAGGTACTGTCTAACAATCATTGACAGGTTCTCCAGGTGGCCCTTAGCCATTTCCTGGAAGACATGACAGCTGATTCCGTCTATACTGCATTCCACACTTACTGGATAGCGCAGTTTAATACACCTCGCACCATTACCACCGGTCAAGGCTCTCAATTGGAGTCTGCACTCTTCAAGGCCTTGTCACGACTGATTGGTGCTAATCCCATCAGGAGTTCACCATATCATCCTCAGTCAAATGGTCTGGTTGAGAGGTGGCATAGAACTCTTAAGGGGTCTCCGCAGTTGCGATGGGTGCGCGGGTGAATAGAGTGTGAAATAGTCAAGTTAGTGAGGTTAGTTTCGAGAGAGATGAGACATCAAACATGGCGTATGTTGGATAATGACAGACATCGCCATAGTATTTTTATCATTAATTTATTGAACAAATGAATGATTAAACCCAATGGAACTTCGTGCCCATATTTTTCAGGGCTTAATATAGAACAATTTAGCTTCTTTTGCTGGCTAGCACATTGTCAACAGTGTGAGGGGTATGGGACAAAGTAGCGTCCATAAAGGTTGTGTATAAGGCGCAATTTGAATCATTAATTAAACACGAACGAACCCATAAAAGTAGTTATAATTGCTTTTACAAATACCTTTTTAACATTTTTGGTTGCTATATGATATATTTAATTCGCAAGCACATTGTCATATTTTACCCAAAAGTACGGCGGAGACCCCTTAAAGCAGCTCTGATGTACAACTCTCAAGCTCCATAGTCCGAAGTTCTACCTACAATGCTCCTCGGTCTTCCGATCTGCTACAAGGAAGACTTAAACGTTTCACCTGCTGACCTGCTCTATGGGACAGGTTTACGCGTACCAAGAGACTTCTTCGTTTCAAAGGACATGTCTACTGACCGTCAAATTTTCGTTAAGAAATTTCGTGAACACATCAAAAGCTTGAGACCTACACCAACAGCTCATCACATAAAAGAGCGTATGTTCATCTTGAAAAACCTGTACTTCTCCTCGCACGTATTTCTTCACATCGACGCAGTCAACCACCCCTTTGGAACCACCCTACTCTGGTTCTCATGAAGTGAGATCCACTCTTGGAACGTCTAGATGATTACGTTTTCAAAATCAACGTCGACGGAATCGAGAAAGTCGTATCTGTGGAGAGACTCAAACCCGCTTATATTACCAAGGAGGACCCTGTCAATAATCAACAACTTCAGCAAGCTGGGGATCCTGGTAACAATGAACCCCAGCTACCATCATGAAGCATGGATTCACCTCTTCGTACGTATGCTAGAACCAGGAGAGATATGACTGTTTCGTTCCCTTCGAACCTGACGAAGGTTACTGGGGGGAGAGTGGATGTGGCGACCACTGAAATATACCATATACTGGAAAGGGCACTGCAATGCCAGACTCGTAAATGGAAAACAAGCCAGAGAGAAGTAGATTTTGTGGGCCACCTCTCTCACTCTCTCGACGGTGCGCATGCGTGTAACGTGCCAAACGACACACGGTACAAGCGAGTTGAGAAGCTTAGGTTGAGTTATGCGCAGTGAATTGATGTGTTAAAGATTGTTTTGACGCTATAAGGATCAATAAAGATTGGGACGTTCTACTTTTTCATCACAGTATTGGAAAGATCAAATAGAGATCAGAAACTCGAGGCATGTTCTTCAATTTGAGGAATTAATTCCTTTTGAAATAAAAGTTTATATCATTCAAATATCAACTTTCCGTTTCAGGAATTATATTGGACATACCGGAATTTGGAATTCCGAATAGTGAGGACGGTACTGACTCAGAGGATTTCGATTTTCCGTCAGATTAATTGAATAAAGAATTTATTGAATTGTATATTCCTATGTAATTTTTCCCTGTCAATTTACTCGTAATAGAATTGTAAATACCCCTTGTATCAGTATACATTGGGAATGAATAAAATTTTCAACGGTCACATGTTATGAGTTTGAATTTTAACAAAAATGACATATGCAACCAAAAAGAACTGAATGCCAATGCTAAATTCTGTACGTTGCCCAAGGTAAGAGAATACTTTTGGAGCAGATGGTACAACAGAGACAAGTGGCCCCCAAAATCGACCCTCTCTCTCGGCTCGCTTCGGGCAGCTCAGTGCCCTTTCCAGTATATAGTATATTTCAGTGGTTGAACCTGTCATAAGTTATACGAAATGGTATATGGACCTGTGATAAGTTATATCCCCACCACCGCCTGTTACTCAGTACTCCTTGTCTCAAGCAAAGTAGGGGAGACCAATCAGATTCCCTTTCTATGTGCAATGAACACAGAAATACTCACCTATGGTAGAACATGCGCAACTAGCTCCAATTATTCGGGTGCATACGCGGAACGGGTTAGCGGTGGGGGATGCGATATTACTGATGAGAAGTGATTTGGTATAACTTATCACAGTTTATAACTTATCACAATATAATTTATGACAGGTTCGACTGTATTTTTTTTCTACTCAACCCTGACCGATAGACGACTTTTATCACCACTCGACTCAACTACAAGTTACTTTAGACATTTAAAAATTTTCAGCAAAATATTTACACTTTTAGAGTATATTTCCTATGAAGTAAAAATTTTCGTGAGGGAAAAAATTTCCAAGCTTTTTAAAAAAATCGAAAAAGACCCTTCTCATCGGAAATAATTATTTTTTTGTTTGTTCCTCTTACTTTTCCATCCGACATTCCGAGGACTGAATTGATAAGAAAATCGGGCGGAGCTAAGGCATCAACAATGGAGGCTGCTTCTGGCTTCAGTTGAGCACATAGTCGTAGAATACCCTCACGAATGATCTCTACCATTTGTGGTCCTAAACAGTATCCACCTTAAACAGATAAAGAACACAATTTGTTTGTTCAGAAATTGAACAAAAAATCTTCGGTTCCAATTTTATATCAGATTTAGCGCAGTTGGAAATATGTCATATATGGCAATATTTATATTGGGAATATGAAATCATTTCATCTTTCCCTTATCATTATCCTCCTGTATTCATAATAAAATTAAAAATGAGATTCCTTCACTATGAGAGGTCTTATATGATTTTGTTTGGAAATTTTGTTATTAAATTGAATAAAAATGTTAAAGAAACTGAAAATGCACCGAGAGAAAACAAGCAAGGGTTCGAGCCTTTTTGGTAGAAGCCATCTGACCGTATCTTTATGTTTTAACGCTTTCTTGTTTTCATTTCTACCAATTCCATTGGTAGTAAGCTTCCGAATGGGTCTGTACCAATTCTATTAAAAAAAATGGAAACACCAATCCCGCTCAGATTAGATATCAACAATGTCACCAAAAAAAGCTACCTGATGATTCGAAAAAAATATTGTTTTCGTCCCGGTGGGTGCAAAGTACACATTTTTCTGATTAAAAATGAAGTTTTGAACAAAAGCCAAAAATAGAAGCATTATTTCAATTTTCTTATAGCTATTTTTTAAGTGTGTTGAGTATCACTATACGGATTCTGTAATGCAAAATAAAACAAAATTCACCAGAAAAAACGTGCCCAATAATCCTGTACCTATTCGTATAATAATCCCTTACCTATTCGTTATTATATGCTACCATACGAATTTTTCTCCCAAAAAATGTCCCTTTTTTGCGGAAAACGGGAGAGCAGTTGTTGTTGTAGCTATTCAATAGTCAAAAATAAGAACTGAATTATCAAATAGAATAATAATGATCATTTAATACCAATCCCGTAATTTAGAAATAAAATATTTCTCAATTAACTTCACTATCATAGATATTTTCATCTCTTTAGTCAAATTTTGTCGTTCTTGAAAACAAAGCGGTTTTTAAGGTTTGAAACTTTTATAAGTTGAAATGAAATAATCTCAATCTTGGCAATGATCAACTTGTTTTGGTTCAAATAATACTCGTTTAAAAACTTTTTTTTCTCCCAGTGCAAAACAGTCAAACCAAACAATTTGGAGTCCACTTCTTCGCGAGAATTGCAAGCTAAAACTCAAAATGGAAAATTTATATTTTCCTCTGGCGAATTACGAAAATTTTTGACTAAAATCGAAAAATGTTTTCAACTGCCCAAGGGGAAGTACTATCTGGGAAATTTTCCAGAAGGGAATTGTATCAAGGGCAAAATTTTTGCTGAAGAAAGTACTTGAAAGAAAATTTTTGCCAGGGGAAATTTTATCTGGCAACATAAATTACTAAGCTGTGGGTTATGAAATAACCCAGACAACAGGGAAAAAACGAGTCGAATCGTTCAATTAGTACCTTGATAGAAGGAAGGTAAATGCTTCTCCAAGCAAGAGAGTGAATAGAGTAACAGACATTTATCCAAAACTGCTACTAGACTCTGATGTGGGTTCCCACGTGGCAGCATTTTCTCGATCCTCCTCACACTGTATCTAATAACTGTCAACTGCAATTCGAAAAACAAATACAATTTTATTATTTTCGGACTAAGAAAGTGAGGAATACTTCAAAAAAACAAAGTGAAATTTTTTCTTTTTGATGGTTTTTCAATTAATTTTCAAGGTATTCCGGGAAAGACTTTTAAGAAAATTTTACCTCTCCATAGGCTCTGGATAAATGTGATGCGGAATAAACTTGTGCCTTACTCCTTGCTGAGAAGTTGTCAAGACCTTTGCCCTTGGCAATTTGGAATTTACGTGACATTTCTATTGTTAACCACGTTATCAACCATTCGTAACAATTTCTAACGACTAAAACAGAGAGCAAAAGAAAATTTGAGTGAAAATTAGTCATTGAAAATTGATACGTCTTCAGATAAATTTCGTAAAAATATTTTCATCACGCTGTGCGAAAAAGAAAATTTTTAGGCACGCTTCGCGTGTCTAAAACATCCCTTTTCCACACATTGTGATGAAAAATATCGTTCGGTACTCGTGGGAAAAGTGTTTTTTCCGCACTAGTAACGAAATATACTATTTAAGACAGTTCATTTTTTCTTAAAGGAAAAATTATCATCCAAGAGAAATAACCGCGTTTTTCATTGTAAAAAAATTGCTGTGAAGGACAGAAATTCTGTAAGAATGCAAATGATAAAAGTTATTATTCCTCATTTTGAAATTTTCTCTAAATTATTACAGTTCAAAGACATGATGTCATCCACATGATTTACAGTGAATTTCTTCTCCAGTATCTGATCCCCATTGAAGAGAAAATTAATTGAATCCAAGGGGCTGCCGTCAGTTATGCCTTTCTGAGCGCCCTCCCATTGTCTAAGAATCCAGTTACTGGTTTGCTGCACTAGGACATTATTGTCACCCTCGTATGTCACCGTGGGCTCATGATCCGCTGCCATATCACCCAATTTAGCACCTGACAAAACATTATAAATTATCTCATAATTTTTCTTTTTTTCTTGCCGAAATTAGTTTGGTAATTCTAAAGAAAAAGCATTAAAGAATTTATCTGTTTTTTCTAATAAGAAATGAATAATTCTATTTTTCACAGTTTTTTCGGTTTCAGAAATGAAATATATTTATTTATTATCTCTAGAATGAAGCTATATCTGTCAAACTTTTTTCTTTAATCTTAATGAATCTATGATTATTGCAATGAATACAATGAGTGGCTAAAATTTTTTTATTCCCTAACCTTTATGATATCCATGACCTCCACAAGCCTCTCTGCACTCACTAATGGCAGCTTTTGCAGTCCATGTGAGGAGAGGCTTGATAGCTGAAATCATAGCATGAAGTTCACCAACAATTTCTCTCTGAAACAGTAATTCAAGCAATGCATTTTATAATTGGGTGACACGTAATTTCATCACTGCGACATTTCATCCGCCCGACAAATTACCCAAAAAAAAAATCAGATTAAATATTCTCGGCATCAATGTATTGTCCACAATTATATTCTCCGCCTTTTCTACTGCTTTCTTTTACTTCATCAATATCTTAGTGCCTAAATTTGCGGATGAAATGGCGCAGAATTTTTTTTCAGCGAATGAATTATCGCCGGCTGAAATTCCCAAGAATTTTTTTGGCGGATGAAATGTCGCAGTGAGGAAATCATATGGAACCCATCATTGAATGAAGATACTTTTTTAGTTATGTCACATACAATATTTGGAATTTCTTCAGTTGCCAAGGACTTCTCTACGTTGCTGAAGAATTCGCTGGCGAATTCCGTCATGAAAGCTCGTGTCACGACTCCTGCCGCCATGTAGGGAAATATTCTCCATTGCTGCAATAATTGGACCATTCCGATTATCACAAGGAACCAAAAATTTCTGATTACCTGATTCGCTCTAGCAATCATTGAATGGTAAAAAATGCATTTGCTTTGAAAATGATAGCATGTTGAGAGAAAAAAAAACATGTTCTCAAACAAACTCTACTCGAACCAAAAAATCACAAGTTCATAATTGCCAACATAGAAATTGTTTCATTTGACGATACGAAATTTTCTAATATGAATAATTCAACAACGAAATATTTGACTTAAGAGGCAGATCATATCATGACCAGAGTGGAAATTCCGGTCAGGTCTTGATCAAGTTCGGATCAGGTTAGACCTGACCACTGATCAGGTATTGATCAAGTTGACGGATCCGGTCTTGATCAGACATGTTACGCCTCTGACCAATCCGAATTTGATCAGGACGAATGGATCCGGACTTGATCAAGTCAACTGTATGAAAACTGGATGACCTGTCTGTCAGTATCGATAACAATTATCAATGATAATTAATCCAAAACAAAAGATAATTCAATTCTTTCACCGTAGGCTGCTTCTCTTAATAAATTTCTACTGTTATTACCTCTGAAAAAGCTTATTATTTTTTTACCGATGCTGGGGATCGAACCGGGGACCCTATGGTTGCTAATCCTATGCCCTAACCACTACGCTATCGCGCTATTAGTATTAAGTAAACTGTACATTGCCTATATGATTTGTATCGGGGTATTCGTTGAATTTACGATTATTCCTGATCTCGCGGATGTGTGTGTGTATTCTCAAAGATGAAATATGTTCAATTAAATTTTTATTTATTTCATTAATGAATAATAATGATAATAACAATAACACTAATAAATAAATAGACATTTGGTGATTTTTTTTTCTCAAGATCATTTGCGTGTAAGTTTGATACTCCTCTAATACGTATTTACGGCATCATCATCCCTCCCTTCTGTGCATTTGAGAGGGGCTGGCTATTAATTAAATGGATTAATTAAATCAAATTCATTAAATTAAATTAATTCAATTTAATTTATTTTAATTATAACATAATGATTCTTTTTAAAGATTGAAAATAATAATTGATAATGGTTGATAAAACTTAATTTGAATAGTAGAATAGTAGTTAATTGAATTGTACGAAAAACTTATTAAAATTAATGTCAGGTGGACCGGATCTGAATCTGATCATTTTCTCTTCAATTGACCCCGTTCAAATGCCGATCAAAGACATCAAATCCGAATTTGATCAAATTGGGGTCAGGCAGCCGGTCTCAGGGTGAGATCGTGCCTACCTAATCAGAACTTGATCTGAATCATCCTGCAGTTTTTCGGATCCGATCTACTGGATCAAAATTTGGTCAGGTTCTGTAGAACCCGCCTGTAGTTTTTTGGATCAGAACTTGGTCAGGTTCTCATCAGGGATCATCTGATCATGTCTACCTGATCAGAACTTGATCTGAACCCGCCTGTAGTTTTTCGGATCCGATCTGCTGGATCAGAACTTGGTCAGGTTCTCATCAGGAATCACCAGATCAGTCGAACCTTACAAAAACCTGATCAAGTTCTGATCGTACTTTAGGTGGGCCTGAAGCAATTTCCACTCGGGGAGATGATACCGCTTCAATAAGAAAAAAATATCTCTTATATAGTGCAGTTAATTAATAGTATATTTCTAACCTAGGGAAGTAAAGTAAAGGAGTTGTGGAGACGTGGTAAGCACGTGGAAAAGAGTGCTTTATTTTACCTCCCGTGGTTAGAACCGGATTTTTCGCCTCGGCGTTTTCCGTTCGCTTCGCGGGAGGAAAATCCGACTTTGCGCCCGCCGGGACGAAAAAATTTTTTTGTTTTTGAGTTACAGGATTGTTATTATATCATCATTACTCTTCAATTTCTAAATTCATTGCTTATCTTTAAATTCTGAATGGTAATATAGAATAATAAATAGATAATGCTAGAAATGGAATTGTATGTCTGCCCAGAAAATAACAATTTTCTACGTACGTAAAGTTAGCGGAGCAAGATCAAAAAATGTTTTTTTTTGGTCAAAATTATGTGCTTTTTATGTGTTTTTTGGTGCTTGAACAAAAAAAATGGTGCTCCATCCCGTCGGGAATTAGGGGTAAGGGGTAGAAAATGAGGGATGGTCGGAAAAAAAATTATGCCATAATTATGTGCTTTTTACGTGCTTTCGGTTACTGCGAGAGGACAGGCAGGGTGGGGGCTGATTTGGGAGAAATAGCCCTTCTAGGTAACAGCTATAAACAGTAGGCCATGATTATGTGCTTTTTACGTGCTCCAAGAAAAAGGCGCAGAAAAAGGGGTAAAGAGGCCCGCATGAGGAAAACCGCCTATCTAGGAGAAAATTCAATTAGGGGTGAGTAAAATAATATTGGTGATTGAAGCGTCATACTATGAACTACAATTATGTGTTTTTTATGTGCTCCAAGATAATTGATCGAAATAATGGAAAAGATGGAGCCTATTAGAAGAATCGACTTCCCACGGTACAATTGAGATCGCAAATGAGATATTCCTGGCGTTATTATTTTGTTTGGTTTCGACACATCATATCAAGAAAAAAAAAACGTGTTTTCGAATGTTGACACCGAAAATATTCGTGCTCAATCCGGTAATCTGGAAAATACCCCCACGTCAAGCGGAAGTGCTCGAAACGTATATGACGTAACCCAAATGGTTTCCAATCTAACTTTCTACACAAAAACAATATCGATGGATTTGTGCCTGAATTTTCATCATAATGAAGGAATTAGGTATACTGGTAACTGTCAGAAACTTTGCCGCGATCGCCATTTTTTTATTTGGGACACCATTGAGTCCAAAAAAATATGTGTTTTCGAAATCCGCCACTCGAATTATTCGTGCTCCTCGTTTTGTAGGAGCAAGGTCTTCAGGTCGACCTGATGTGATTGTAGCACATCATCTCATGGGGCACTTTGTTTCAAAAAATTATGTGCTACACATTAGACAAGGTAATTAAATTCGTGCTCCAATCCCTCCCATCGTGGACAGATCAGGTACACTGGTGACCGTCAGCAACTTTGCTGCGGTCGCCATCTTATTTTTTTGAGGCATCAATGAGTCCGAAAAAATATGTTTTTTCAAAAGCCGCCACTCAAATTATTCGTGCTCCTCGTTTTGTAGGAGAAAGGTCTTCAGGTCGACCTGATGATATTGGAGTACATCATCACATGGGACACTTTGTCCCGAATGATTATGTGCTAAACATTGGGCAAGGCGATTGAATTCATGCTCCACTCCCTTCCATCGTGGACAGATCAGGTACACTGGTGACCGCCAGCAACTTTGCTGCGGTCGCCATCTTTTTTTTTTGAGGCATCAGTGAGTCTGAAAAAATATGTGTTTTCGAGATCCGCCACTCGAATTATTCATTTTACTCATTTTGTACGAGCAAGGTCTTCAGGTCGACCTGATGTCATTGGAGCACATTATCTTATGGGACACTTTGTCCCGCACAATTATGGGCTACACATTGGGCAAGGCTATTACATTCGTGCTCCACTCCCTCCCATCGTGAACAGATCAGGTACACTGATGACCGTCAGCAACTTTACTGCGGTCGCCATCTTATTTTTTTGAGGTATCAATGAGTCCGAAAAAATATGTGTTTTCAAAATCCGCCACTTAAATTATTCGTGCTCCTCGTTTTGACGGAGAAAGGTCTTCAGGTCGACCTGATGTGATTGGAGCACATCATCTCATGGGACACTTTGTCTCAAAAAATTATGTGCTACACATTGGACAAGGCTATTAAATTCCTGCTCCACTCCCTCCCATCATGAACAGATCAGGTACACTGGTGACCATCAGCAACTTTGCTGCGGTCGCCATCTTTGTTTGTGAAGCATCAATGAGTCCGAAAAAATATGTGTTTTCGAGATTCGCCACTCGAATTATTCATTTTACTCATTTTGTAGGAGCAAGGTCTTCAGGTCAACACATTGGGCAAGGCTATTAAATTCGTGCTCCACTCCCTCCCATCGTGGACAGATCAGGTACACTGGTGACTGTCAACAACTTTCCTGCGGTCGCCATCTTTTTTTTTGAGGCATCAATGAGTCCGAAAAAATATGTTTTTGAAATCCGCCACTCGAATTATTCGTGCTCCTCATTTTGTAGGAGCAAGGCCTTCAGGTGGCCTGATGTCATTGGATCAGCACATGGGAAACTTTGTCCCAAAAAATCATATGCTACACATTGGACAAGGCTATTAAATTCGTGCTCCATTCCCTCCCATCATGAACAGATCAGGTACACTGGTGACCGTCATCAACTTTGCTGCGGTCGCCATCTTTGTTTTTGAGGCATCAATGAGTCTGAAAAAATATGTGTTTTCGAAATCCGCCACTCGAATTGTTCGTGCTCCTCATTTTGTAGGAGCAAGTTCTTCAGGTCGACCTGATGAGATTGGAGCACATCATCACATGGGACACTTTGTCCCAAAAAATTATGTGCTACACATTGGACAGAGCTATTAAATACGTGTTGCACTCCCTTCCATCGTGAACAGATCAGGTACACTGGTGACAGTCAGCAACTTTGCTGCGGTCCCCATCTTTTTTTTTGAGGCATCAATCAGTTCCAACAAAATATGTGTTTTCGAAATCCGCCACTCGAATTGTTCGTGCTCCTCATTTTGTAGGAGCAAGGTCTTTGCGTCGACCTGATGTGATTGGACATCATCTCATGGGACACTTTGTCTCAACAAATTATGTGCTACACATTGGGCAAGGCGATTAAATTCGTGCTCCAATCCCTCCCATCGTGGACAGATCAGGTACACTCAGGTCGATCTGAAGACCTTGCTCCTACAAAATGAGGAGCACGAATAATTCGAGTCGCGGATTTCGAAAACATATTTATTGGGACTGATTGATGCCTAAAAAAAAAAGATGGCGACCGCAGCAAAGTTGCTGACGATCACCAGTGTACCTGATCTGTTCACGATGGAACGGAGTGGAGCACGAATTCAATAGCTTTAACCAATGTGTAGCACATAATTTTTTGGGACAAAGTGTCCCATGTGATGATGTGCTCCAATCTCATCAGGTCGACCTGAAGACCTTGCTCCTACAAAATGAGGAGCACGAATAATTCGAGTGGCGGATTTCGAAAACGTATTTTTTCGGACTCATTGATGCCTCAAAAACAAAGATGGCGACCGCAGCAAAGTTGCTGACGGTCACCAGTGTACCTGATCTGTTCATGATGGGAGGGAGTGGAGCACGAATGTAATAGCCTTGTCCAATGTGTAGCACATGATTTTTTGGGACAAAGTGTCCCATGTGATGATCCAATGACATCAGGTCCACCTGAAGGCCTTGCTCCTACAAAATGAGGAGCACGAATAATTCGAGTGGCGGATTTCGAAAACACATATTTTTTCGGACTCATTGATGCCTCAAAAAAAAAGATGGCGACCGCAGCAAAGTTACTGACGGTCACCAGTGTACCTGATCTGTCCACGATGGAAGGAAGTGGAGCACGAATTTAATCGCCTTGTCCAATGTGTAGCACATAATTTTTTGAGACAAAGTATCCCATGAAATGATGTGCTACAATCACATCAGGTCGACCTGAAGACATTGCTTCTACAAAATGAGGAGCACGAATAATTCGAGTGGCGGATTTCGAAAACACATGTTTTTTGACTCAATGGTGTCCAAATAAAAAAATGGCGATCGCGGCAAAGTTTCTGACGGTTACCAGTATACCTAATTCCTTCATTATGATGAAAATTCCGGCACAAATTCATCGATAGTGTTTTTTGTGTAGAAAGTTACATTGGAAACCTTTTGGGTCACGTCATATACATTTCGAGCACTTCCGCTTGACGTGGAGATATTTTTTAACTACCGGATTGAGCACGAATATTTTCGGCGTCAACATTCGAAAACACGTTTTTTTTTCTTGATATGATGTATCGAAACCAAAAAAAATAATAACGCCAGGGATATCTCATTTGCGACCTCAATTGTACCGTGGGAAGTCGATTCTTCTAATAGGCTCCATCTTTTCCATTATTTCGATCAATTATCTTGGAGCACATAAAAAACATAATTGTAGTTCATAGCATGACGCTTTAGTCACCAATATTATTTTACTCACCCCTAATTGAATTTTCCCCTGGATAGGTGGGTTTCCTCATGCGGGCCTCTTTACCCCTTTTTCTGCGCCTTTTTCTTGGAGCACATAAAAAGCACATAATCATGGCCTACTGTTTATAGCTGTTACCATTAATCCTGGCTTTCAACCCCTAAAAGTAATTTTCCCCTAGAAGGGCTATTTCTCCCAAATCAGCCCCCATCCTGCCTGTCCTCTCGCAGTAACCGAAAGCACGTAAAAAGCACATAATTGTGGCATAATTTTTTTCCAACCATCTCTCATTTTCCACCCCTTACTCCTAATTCCCGAAGGGATGGAGCACCATTTTTTTTGTTCAAGCACCAAAAAACATAAAAAGCACTTAATTTTGACCCAAAAAAAAACATTTTTTGACCTTGCGCCGCTAACTTTATGGACGTCAATTTTTTGGAACTACAAATTTTTTTATTCTTGATAATTTTCAACTCGCAATTTTTTGGTTCAAATGAGACTTGTCTGTGCAAATGTTTTTTCTTCTTTCACGGTCAGTCTCCCTCAACTAAGAAAAGAGAAGAAATTTCATTTTTGCCTATTAGGGGCCATTAGAATATTATATACCGCATGTTTTTTACTTTTCCAACCCCCCCCCCTGTGATGATTTTTTTATAACATGATATTTAAACAAGTTGTCACAAACATACATACAGACATGACTGTAAAAACATAATTTCTCCACGTTTCATGACATTCTACATCATTGCCGATCAAAATTAGCGACTCGAAAAATCCGTCAATTACAAGGCTTCCATTCGGGAGCAAAAACAAAAATAAGCAACATGCAGCAAAGGATGAATTCAACAATTAAATCTTTATGCGATGCTCTTTGAACGCTTTGTAGCTTATTAAATTATTGTCATCACAACACTCTTAAATTCACTGTCATCAATCTTTAGGATAGCTTGAGAACCGGTGAAACCTGTGCTTCCGTGAGAAAACAAGGTGCGAACAAAATTGCATTTGCGCTTTCTTCGATTGGAAATGGAAAAAAAATATCGTGTGACATCATAACTTAAGCAACTCCCACCCCTCCTTTTGTTTTTTTAAAGAAAAAAAAAATCTTGTAGACTTGCTACACGTTTTATAATTTCAATACAGACTCTTGTATACTTGAGAATACTTTCCGGAAATCATTGATCATTGTTAGTTTAAAGAATCGTAGAATTTAGTTTAAAGAATTGTATAAAGAATTGATTGATCATCGTTTCATAGTTTGATGTTTTTTGTGATGATCGCAAAACCAAAACCTCCTTTATTATTCATACTTACATGAAGTTCATATTCGATGATTGGCGTTTCGACCGGGTCTTTCACTTGCGAAGAAGACATAAACTGCCTCCTAACAGAGGCATATCGGATGGCAATGGTTGAAGCTATTCCAATGTTATTGACACTCTCGCCGCTGATTCCAATGCGTGCAGTGGATAAATTTTCGAGAACAGCCCCGATAATTCTTTGGGGATCAGAAAAAAACGATTGGTATTCACCTTCGTTGGTTACGTCGCCAGTTCTATTCAACAGATTGTCCTTTGGTATTCTGTAGTTACTGAAAATTATGAATCTGAAAGAAAAAGAATTTAGATCATTGAGTGATATTTTAGATGTTTTTCATTAAGAAAAAACTAAGGTTGAATGGATTATTAAGGTAAGTGATTAAACCTGTTAACAATTATTATATTTTGGAGCAACTTGGCAGGTTTAAATAACAGTGACACTGCACACAATTTGTAGATGACAAAGATAAATTTATTTAATAAGTAACTTAGTGGAAAATATAAACTAGAGTGTAACAATAGCGTAAGGAAAAACTGAAGGCACCTCAACAGCACGCCGTGTACCGCCGGATAATGAAAAACGACAGTTGAACGCGTCAATACGTCTGATTCAAATTAGTAGCAATCATCAGCGCTCCCAAAATGAAACTAGATTACACATAATCATAATTTGATTGATTCCTTCATTATCGATTCTTGATATGTTAAGATGCCATTCTCAACACTCCCTCTCATCTTATACATCATATAAAAAATCTCAGAAAATTAACATAAACCATAATATGACTTGAATCTCTCAAATTTCTCGCTTGACAAGGGTTTTATTAATGGATCAGCTAATTGAGGATTTGTTGACACATATTTAACATTAATTTTCCCTTCGGCATATTGATCACAAGTATAATAAAATTGCGTATCTATGTGCTTGGTTCGTTTTGTTGAATCTCGATTTTTGACTAGTGTAATTGCTCTCTGGTTATCACACCACACGTCTGTAGAATCACTGGCAACAGTTTAAATCATTTAACAAATGTCTCAACCATACTATCTCTTTTGTTAGTGAACATAGTGCAACAAACTCCGCCTCAGTAGTCGATGTGGCAGTAATTGTTTGTTTCCTGGAACTCCAACAAATCGGACCAGAGTTTAAGAAACATATCCAACCTGTTGTGCTACATCTAGTATCAATGTCCCCAGCCCAATCAGCATCTGAGTAAGATATCAACTTTGTATCATTGGAGATTAGGCAAAAATTAATTCCCTCAGACATCCTTCCTCTAAGATATTTAAAAACTCTCTTAATCCAATTCCAGTGCGTAATGGTTGGACTTTCCATAAACCTACTAAGAACACCTACAATGTATGCTAAATCTGGACGTGTTCCAATTATCAAATACATGAGTGACCCCACAGCCTCACGATAAGGAAAAACTGGCTTATCTCTAGTTTCATTGCTAGCACGAGTAAATTTCATACCAGGATCTACAGGTGTTGATACTGGTGCTGAATTGATGAAATTAAATCTCTCCAAAATCTTTTTACAATAAGCATTCTGATGCAATTCAACAGTATCAGCATCCTCATCCTTCTCAATCTGAATTCCAACAAAATATTCCGCATCTGAATGCGTTATCTTGAAATTGTCATGTAACTCAACCAATAACCTTTCCATTAGCTTTAAATCATTTCCACCTAACAACCCATCATCAACATACAAGGCAAGATATAAACATTCATTTGATTCTTTTGAAAAATAAGAGAAAATGCATGGATCTGACCTTGATTGTATTAGAAATTGCATAGAAAATCCACAATCTTCTTATTCCATTGACGTGGTGCCTGCTTTAGTCCGTATAAGCTCTTCTTGAGCAGACATACCCGATCATCCTCAGCGAAACCGTAAGGCTGCTCCATATATATCTCCTCGTCGAGCTCACCATGCAGGAACGCCGTCTTAACGTCAAATTGATACAATTGAAGATTTTTAGCCGCTGTAACTGCCAGCAAGGTTCGAACAGAATTGTATTTCACCCAAGGAGCAAAAGTCTCTTCATAGTCAATTCCGTACTTCTGTGAACATCCTCTGACTACAAGTCTGGCCTTGTATTTATCAATTTCTCCATTAGCCTTGAATTTACGATGAAACACCCAGCGATTCGTAATGACATGCTGCACCTCTGACCTTGGTCTCAAAACCCAAGTAGAATTTTCCTCCAAAGAACGCAACTCATCATTGATAGCCTTCATCCAGTGGTTAGCCTCACCACTGCCCATGACTTCCTCAAGACTCTGGAACTCAATCTCATTCAGCATAGCCTCTGCTATCACAACCTCCTCTTTACATGAGTCATTTCTAGAAGACCTTGAACTTGTACTTCGTTTGGGATATGGATCCCGTAGAATAGGCAATCTTGGATTCTTCCACTTCTTCTTCTCCTCAAAAACTTCATCAGATGCCTGGTCATCTCCCTCTGCTTCCTGCAACCTTGAATCACCTTGATTTACTCTCCCTCTTGATTCAATCACAGTATGAGAAGACCCTTCATCTGATTTTTCGTGGAAAATTACATCTCTCCTGATATAGACCTTCCTTTTTGATGGATCAAACACACGATAAGCTTTGTTTCCTTCGCTGTACCCGACGAGTTGACATTTCGTTGAATTCATCTCCCATTCCGTGCGTTGCTCCTTGGGTACATGAACGTAACATTCACTACCAAAAATACGAGGATGAGAAACAGATGGTTTTGATCCAAACCATCCTTCCAAAGGAGTAGCACCACCAAGTGTATGAGATGCAGTTCGATTTTTAGTATACACAGCTGTCCCAGCAGCTTCAGCCCACAAATATTCTGGAAGATTTCGTGCATGAAGCATTGACTTAGCTGCCTCCACAACACTCCTATTCTGCCTCTCTATATATCCATTTTGTTCTGGAGCCCTGGGCGTTGATAAATCGTGTTTGATTCCTTTGGATAATAGAAATTCCCTCATCTGAGCATTCACGAATTCCAAACCACAATCTGATCTCAATCTTTTAACCTCATGACCATCAGCTCAAACATCAGCATAAAACTGCTGTAAAAATTCCAAAACATCAGTTTTATCTTTAAGGAAATAGATGTAACAGTACGTGGTACAATCATCTTTCAGAAGCATAAAATAATTAGCTCCACCAATCGATTGAATTGGCATTTTTCCACACAAGTCCACATGAAAAATTTCTCCTGGTGTATTAGACCTTACTGCTTCATTTTTCGGGAAACTCGTACGGTGCTATTTGCCGTAGATACATTCTGAGCAAAAAGGATTCTCACCTAAAATCTCTGAAACCTTCAAATCATCAACAGTTTCTCGTTGAATCATTTCCCTTAATGTGTTAAAATTTACGTGCCCCAGTCTCTCATGCCAAGTCATCAAATTCTCACCCGCAGCTACATTGGTACTAGCACAAGACAGAGGTTGGAACTGCAACCTGTATAAATTTCGCACCTTAACCCCTTCAGTCAGCATGATACCTTCCTTGACCAGCACCACTTTCTGACCTCCTTCCTCAAAAATGACTCTGATTCCTTTTTCTGTCACTTTTGTGATTGACAATAAATTTTTATCAATCCTTGGGACATAAAGAACATTCATAATCGTTAATATTCTTTGTGAACCATCTGCTCCTTTGATCATTACATCAATATCGCCTCTTCCTGCTGCAGAAACCATCTGGTTCCATCTCCAATTCGTACAGAAAAATTATTTTCAGTAAATTGTGTTAAATTCTTAAACCACTCTTTCTTATACGACATGATCTGTCGCTCCAGAATCAGCATACCAGACATGCTGATCATCAACATCCTGACACCTTGCACCAACCATAGTCAATAAACATGCTCTATCTAACGGTGTAGGCCCTGAGTACTGATTATCTGTGTTCCAATCAGGTACGCTCTGATGTTGTTGTGTGCTCTGAGCTACAAACGTTTGATTATTTCCTCTCTGTCCTTGATATTGATTACCATTTGCCCTAGCTCCACATTCTCGCGCCCAGTGACCTGACTGATGGCAAGAACTACACTTTCCTAGTCTCCATCTCGAACGACCTTGATTCTGATTATTGGAAAAATTAGAATTACCTGACTCATATCCAGTACTCCTAGCACCAAACCCTTGACCTTCACCTCGACGTTCACCTCGATGTTGTCCTCGGCCTCTTGTTGACTGTTGATTGAACCGACCTCTCGCAAACAGTGCTGAATTATCACTGTCTCCAACCGCAGCATCATTCCTGCCCACCAGTGCCTCCTCATTCACCAAATGCTCCATCAGCTTCTCAATGGTCTGACTCGCCTTCGGAACAGCATACCAAGCTGTCCTCACGTGATTGTACTCCCTCGGTAAACTCCCAAGAATCTTAGTAATGATTACTGGATCTTTCTGCTCCATGTCCATGTCTTTCAGCCTTCGAGCAAGGGATACGACTTCAGCTACATGTTCTGCCATCTTATTTCCTGGTTTTCACTTGTAATTAATAAATTGATCCAAAAGTACATGTGCCGACTGATCACTCTTCTGAGAATGCACGGTTTGTAGTTGTGACCACATTTTCGCTGCAGTATCACAATCAGCTAAATATTTTAACTGCTCCAGTACAAGACCACGCATCAAAAATGCTTGTGCCTCAGCATCTTTATCATCCCATTCCTGTGTATTAGCTACTGGACGTATTATTGTTCCCAGCACATATCCCTTCAACTTATTTTCTGTCATATATATCATCATCTGCTTTTTCCATTAATGATAATTCTGATCATTGAATCTGTGGATATGATACACTTTTGATTCCGCCATTTTCACTTACACTCCAAAAACCTCCTTTCGTACTTCACTCTGTTCAATCATAATTTCACCGTCCTTTTCACTATTTCCACTCAAAATCTCAGAATCAATCACATCAGTTTTCCTGTCAATACCTGACATTAATTAAATTCCGAACCCAGCTTTACTGATTCGTTTTATCCACTGTGATTTAATTCAAGTTATTGAGTCAGTTTAATATCACCAAAAATGTGTGCATGCCCTGGGCCCATAACCTGTTAACAGTCATTATATTTTGGAGCAACTTGGCAGTTTTAAATAACAGTGACACTGCACACAATTTGTAGATGACAAAGATAAATTTATTTAATAAGTAAATGAGTGAAAAATATAAAATAGAGTGTAACAATAGCGTAAGGAAAAACTGAAGGCACCTCAACAGCACGCCGTGTACCGCCGGATAATGAAAAACGACAGT